GCATTGAAGATGTCACCTAGCCAGGTAATGAAATGTTTGCAAGAAAACAACCAAGCTCAGAGAACCCCAAGGACTCCGCAGAAAAGGATAGCTTCATGATTGGCAAGTTACATAGTTATTTCCTAGGGCTATGTAGTGACTGAGATTCAGAACATGCTGGAGTGGTCCCGTAGCCTCTGTCAGCAACTCCTTGCATGCTGGATGCTGTGAATTCCATTGGAAATGACAAGTTCTTATGGTTTTTTCCCCCTGGGATTTTTCCTCATTTAAAGTGCAGTTGTGCATCTGTTATGTGATAACTTATTTAAGTAATTAGAACTGCAACTCATACAAATATCTATGGTTTCTTAAAAAACACATGATTGTTCTGTAAATAATATTACAACTAAACTTCTCATCCACCTATACGTTGTATTTGTTTCATTTCAGCTTTTCTATTTCAGTCAAAAACAAAAACAAAACCCTCACAGGCAGGGAAGGTCTTTTTTTCACTGATATTCAAAATCAGTGAAAAAACATAAATCCCTGCCTGTAAGCTTACAATCTAAAAAACATAATTCAGAAGAGAAAAGACAGGAGGAAAAAAGGGAAAAAAGTAATCTCAGGCAACAATTCCTAAAATGAAACAGCTGTTCTTATATAGTAATCAGATGGAAACAGTTCGGGGAATTGGCCAGTTAGTGGGGATGATTATTTTTCCATTATATTATCTGTTTACTGTTTACTGCTTTTCTATATACACAATGCTTTAAGCAGTTCACATGACACCCAAATAAAAGTTCCAGTCCACACAAAATGGCTTTGTATGTACATAAGGTCCTATGCATAAGAAATAAGCGTCTAGCAAAATTGGGGGAAAACATCCTAATGCCGTCATTTAAATGGAGTTCTCTAACTTGATCTAAATTTAAGGAGTTGGATAGAGGAATTGGTGCATAAATTTCAGTGGCCTTTTTTCATGCAAATTATTTTACCCTTTCTCTGGATTTAGAACTTGATTTTTGCATTCAGTTTGACTTTCTCTGATCTCCCTCTATGTGTGTTTGTTTTTAACTAGGTTGTTACGAACAGAGATACCCAAGAAACATTACTTTGCATAGCGTTTGTTTTCGAGGTATCGACCAGTGAGCATGGAGCTCAGCATCATGTGTACAAGTTGGTCAAAGACTAGAGGCCCCTCTGGGTTGACTGGACAATTTAAAGAAGAGGAAGGAAAGAGAAGACTTGTCAGAGAAGCCACCTGTATAGGATGCCTTGACACACATCCTTTGAAAATGAACAAAGAAAAAAATGCCAAAAAATGACTTTCACAATCACAGATGTTTTCTACCTAGGAACGTTTTAAACAAACAAACAGAAAAAAAGCATTACAAGAAAGCATAAAGTGAAAGGAGGATTGTATCTGGAGGCAGCAGGAAGAACTGTTCTTGGGGCCTAGGTCATCAGTATTTCAGGAGATGTTGGTGCCAAGGCCTGGTACCTCTTGATGCTTTCCCAGCAACAGAATGCTAATAGCATCTGGTGAAATGAGACTGCCAAACTCTTGTTAATATCCAAATGTGCCTATGTTTTCCATGCCAAATTCCAGATTCTGTCCTGGTGGCTTTGATCTGCAGAGAACAATTAACATGGGCAGCCTGAAGATGCTTGTTGTAAGAAAGGTTGGGAAATCTGATCCTACCTTGTAACTGATCCTATTCTAGTCACTGACGAAGAAGATGAATTTTTTTTTAAAAAAATCTCTTGATTCAGTCTGTGTGCAGTGCCAACATAGGGAGTTGACAGATTCTGACTTGTTGGGGCACATTATTGTTGGTTAATTTTAAGGAAATAATTTTATTCCCTCAATACCCTGGGCATTTTAAATGCAGGATTACTGCATCTTCCCACCTCCTCACACAAGCTAAGAAGCTGGTGGAAGGATTTCTGCTGATGATTATGGCAAAAAGTGCGGCAATTTTGCATAGTGTCCCAGATGCTTGAGTAGAAGACATGAGTAATTCTACAAGATTGAGGGAAGGGAGGAAGGCAGGGGTGTGAGTGTGCAAGAGAGAGAGAGAGAGAAAGAGAGAATGACTGACTGAGGGGGAAAAAAAGAACAAGAACCCCAGCAAGCAAAAGAAGGTCTTAAAAGTATTTGTGGGACATTATAAGTTAGAGTATGTATTAGGAAGAAGGAGGGCACTGGGAGGAAAGCAAATCAGGGAATCATGAAATTAACAGGCTGACTAGGGGGATCGTGAGATAACTGTCTTGGCCAGTGTTTCTTAACCTCAGTGACTTTAAGATGTGTGCGCTTCAACTCCCAGAATTCCCTAGCCAGCATGGGGATTTCTGGGAGTTGAAGTTGCCAAGGTTGAGAAACACTGGTACACTGGTCTAGGGAAATATTTGGGCTGGCTAAGGCTGAGTAACTTAGATAGATTTCCATACTTCTGTGGGATTTTAACAACTGTCCAAGCTTTTTTCTGTTGTCTCTTTGTTTTTACATTTGCCTTGCCAAAAACATATGGGAAAAGCTTAGACCAAAGTTCTTGCTACCTGAGCATTATCCTGGTGAGGTATTAATTTCTTCCTACTTCTCTGTTCATCTGTGCTAGTCACACACAGGGGCAGAATCTAATTATCCAGGTACATTTTACCCCTCTGTATTATATACTTTCCACTTAGCAAATCCTTGTAGAGTTTGGTAGAATCAAAATAATTAAGTAGTCAGGCAACCCAGATCCAAGGACATACTGAAAGATGAAATGTAGTCCCACATAATTTGAAAGCTGTATTGTTTCTTGTTGGAAATGCTGAGGCTTAAGTCTAAACACAGGCCCCTGACCTTAAACTTGTAGTCTAACATAGTTGCCTTCTAATTTAGATTGGTGCTTACAGGAATTCTGTTACAGGAATATCGTCAAGATCACCATGCATGGCATCTCCAGGGCTCAAGCCCATAAGTTTCAGCTATACCCTGTCTAATTACTAGCATGTATTTTTGAATAATAGAGGATCTAACAATGTATGATTTTTGCCTGTCTCTACCATTGAGTCTCTATCACTGAGCTTTTTCTATCTTGTCCTGCAGGGTTTTTTACTTAAACAAACAAAAAACACCTCTTCTTGTCCCATTCCTTCTGATCAATCCAGCAAGACTAATCCCTAGACCATGCCCTTTCCCATAGCCAGTACAATTCTGATGGAGGAGCCCCCAAGCAAGTACTTGGGAAAGGGGCCCACTATAAGGCAAGGATGTGATTGTTGGGGAAGGGAGCATAGGAGGTTACCCCGTCTAGAAGGATTTGGAATGCACAGGCCAAAGCCTGCCACTATTAAATTTTCATGCTTGGGTACGTATATGTCCCACTTTAAATGGAGGTTATTTTAAGGTGCTGTAAGGAGACATTTCATCACAGTGAAATGTTTTTTCATAGTGTTATTAGCATGTATGGAGGGGAGCCCCAAAGAGACTGTGAAAAGTAGCTGGGAAGTTTCAAAATAAAAATATGTTAAAGCAGATGGGTTGTGAATTTAGTTCATGGCACTGGGTCAAAAGATTCAGGTTAAAATTCTGCGTTCACATTGGTTATTCCTTCTTTTTCAAGGTGTTTTGTGTGTGGGGGTGGTGGTTTTGTCTTTACTGCCATTGTCTGTCTGTCTGTCTTAGAAGGTAGATGGTGGTGTCATGGATTGTTTTCATAAAGTCATGATCTCTTTTTCATAACTGACGTGGGCCTCACTTTCACTATTGGCCTGTATGACCACTACATTATTGACCTAGTACCCTGTTTTCACTACCTGAATGGTCAGCTTTTGCTGGAAGGACCAGGTACAAAGGCATTGGCTAATTCAGAGTTCAATCAGCAGACTAAGAATGTTCCTAAGAGCCTTTGGACTGTTGTTCGAGTGACGCATGCAGCTCTGAGGTGACAACATAAGACAAACTGACAGAGTAGTTTCCCAACCCTTTGAAGGACATTTTAAATTCAAGTAAGATTGATTTTTTCCCCTGTGAACTGATTGTAATTGAATCCACCCAAGAACTTCTGGATGACTCCATTACAGTGTTAAAAGAAACACTCCCTTCTGTATTAGAGGAGTTCCCGAGGTGGTCACACTGATGGAATGGTACATGGAGACTGAATTTGTAGAGAACCAAGTCGCAAATTGCTCAGAACTGTGCCTTATTTTGCAGCATGTTGTGTTCTGAAGAGATAAACAACATGTGCTGGAAATTTTAACAAGCAATGCCAAGTGGAAATCAGATATCTCCTTTCCTCCTCACTTCATCATGTTAATTCTGCTCCACTGTCCTTGGTAAATTGAATGTTCCAAGCATGACCGCATGTGTTGTTTGGGCAAACTGGTCACTGTGATGCCGCAACCTTCTGTCCTAAATGTTATTCTTAGGAAGAATTGACTGGACAATAAATGCCAGCTTTGAAGTTCAGGTACGTTTTGAGATTCCTCAAGCATTTGGGGAGAGGTACAGCATCCTTGGAATCAAATAATAGCTATTGCAGCTAGAATGGGAGAAGGCAAAATCAACAGAGCCTAGGATGTTGAATGCCTTTTTATTTCAGCCATCAACATCTATAAGGACAGGAGTGCTGGCTGCTTTATATGTAGCATTTTTCATTCCTAAATGAAAAATTCTAGGAATTAAGATTAAACTTTCCCTATTCTCCTTAGCTCATGCATAATAAAATAATCTTCTGTTGAAAAAGATGTGGGGAGAACAGAAAAAGGCCTTTATGTACAAGCAGTTTCTTGTATTATAATGACAATCATTAGCTAAAATCTTTCAAATAAGCCTCCTCTTAAACCAGACTGTTACATTTCTCATCTTTTTCTTTTCAGTCCTTCCATGCCATACTATTCTTGGTTCCTGTGCAACTTATATAGATTCCATCCCCACCTTTACTCTTGCAGATTCCTCTCCACCCTTGGCCTCAACTTTGCAGGTAGATATATACATATAAGTGCCTATTTGGTGTCCCCAGACAGTGACAGCAAGCTTAAGGAAAGAATGGCTTCATGAATGTCTTTTAGTTGGATATACCACAGGTATCCCAAATCTCAATAACCAACTCTCCCCCACATCCCGTGTATTTATGAATTTCACATGAAGTACTGTTTTATTTTTTTAAAGACTTTGTAAAGCCTACCAGGGTTATGGTCACCTTTTTTTAGAGCTCTGTCAGTCCACAATGTAAAACCATTTTTATGTATTATATTTTGTGTATTTTTTTTAATCCAGCTGTGATGGGTTGTATCATATATTATTGTGTTTACTGTATGTCCATCTTCAACTAGATGAGACAGTGGAGCTTCTAGAAAGCTATGGTCTGCTGAAAACTATTAAACTTATTGTTCATGGGTTGGCTCAAATACCTTTTTGCATTTGCATTTTTGTTTTCTTGTTTGTTCATAGCATATTTGCAAGAAGATGCTGCAGTCTGACTCTTGATTAGTTTCACATTTAGGCATCATAGAAATTAACTTTGTGTTTTTTATGTCCCATTGATTTCAATGGGTTTGCTTTTATATATGAGTAAGCCTCAATCTACTATTTTGTCCATAATGTGCTCTACCAGGCTACATTCTCTGAAATTCTGTATGTATCCTATATATCCATAGTTTTGCTGCACAAGGGAAAAATTTTGCACTGCATTCACAATTCAGTTCTTATAAATGTTTACTTGTAACAAAATTGTGTATGATAACTTGTATGAAGAGATCACTGCTAAAATCTTCAAGTGAAGTTTTCACATTCTTGGCATACAGTTGTTTAACTCTATTTGGAAACAGAATTACAGCTCAAATATTCCTTCTCTTTCTAGCATCAGACTGTGATAAAACTGTCTATGAAGTTTGCCGCAAAAGCAAAGTACTGGCTAACAAGTGCCCCATTGTGTCATGTCCCCCCCAGATCCTCAAACCAAAATGCAATTTACATTATTAAAAAAAGTTTCTGAGTTTTGCTTTATTAATATGGCAATTAGTGAATAAACATTCTTTACTTTAAATATTAACCAACAATTAGATGAAGCAGAGCAGGGAAGAGCACATACAGTACTGAACCTCTTATGAATTTATTGGCTTATATTAATCTGTTGCAGCAAAACTAACAACATTATAACATCTTAAATGAATCACAATAAATATAAATTATGGCATCACACTTTCAAGGATTACAGTCCACTTCATCAGGTGCAAGAAATTGTGCATATATATATGTACACATATTGGCACTGGGTTGTCAGCTATGAGCTCTAACTGAAATAGCAAGAATACAGTGGCAATTGCATTAAAGCTAAACAGTGACATTTACAAAAGCCATGTTGGTGATGATGCAAGCTTCTTGGTCTCAATAAACTAATTAATAAATCAGATATAATAATCCAGGTCAGGCCCCCACTGATAAAATTGTGCTAATTCATAAACTGCTTCAATGATTTCACACTGAAGTTCCCATCTCAAATGTATTTGTATCAGAATAGTCACATAAAGTCACCATCATTATATATGGGAATACTATAACACTTGCCTTTTTTTTTTGTACTGCCATTAAAATTTGTGTTCTTTTATTGCTTTTCACACTCTATATAGCATGCAGAAGATAAGCTGATAAATGAACCCATAAAAGTGTATGCCATAATTAAAGTTCTGTATGACACAATATTTTTTCATTGTTTGAAATGGCAGATCTTTGCCAATCAGATTGCAAAAGGGTAATGAATATAGGCACACTGCAGTCCTTTCTTCAAAATTCACTTCCCCAAAAGTAAGCAGCAGATGTATTATGAAAAGGGGAGTGTAAAATAACAAATGCATACATTTGCATGCTATGTGTTCAGTCAAAATGAGGGAGCCATAAGAATGACAGCATTCAAATGCTCTTCCACAGTTCATTCTGCTCATGGCATCTGCTGCTTATTGAATTGTTTCCTGGTCTAATAACTTTGTGAATTGGCAAACCATGGTTTGGGCAAGCTGTCCAATAAAATTGCATAACAGGTTAATACAATCCCACTTCCATAACATCCTGAAATAACACCAAAAGACACAGATGGAAAAATTTCTTACCCTTTTCTTTGAAAATAAAATAGACTTGGGGGGTTGGAATATACACAGTTCTTATTTGTGATGGAATGTATCTACAAGGAGGAGAGTGATGTGGGAGATCAAGGCTATCAGGAAGGAGGGGTGCATTCCCTGAGTGGGGAGGAGGCAAGAGGCAGCATAGTCCACAGGGGGAGCGTAAGAAGAGAAAGATTCAGGATGACCACTCCCTAGAATCTCACAGGGTATATCCACTAGTTGCTGTGGTATAGATTTAGTTTGGCAAGACTGATGTCAGGCCCAGCCCAAGAACAACGATGAAACAGTCCAGTCTAGTATAGTTCCTTTATTAGCTTACACCTTATAGACAAAATCTTGCCAAACCAAATCTATACAACAACAACTAGTGGATATACCTTGTGAGATTCGAGGGAGTGGCTATCCTGAACCTCTTTCGCTTCCCACATTCCCCCTGAGGACTATGTTGTCTTTTGTCTCCTTTCCCCTCCTGGAATGCTCCCTCTTCTTCCTGATAGCCTTGATCTCCCACATTATTTTCTTATTAAATCCAAGTTTCAAGATACATAGTTTATAATTTAGAACAGTGTTCCTCAACCTTGACAACTTTAAGATGTGTGGACATGCTGGCTGGGGAATTCTGGGAGTTGAAGTCCACACATCTTAAAGATGCCAAGGTTGAGAAACACTTGATTTAGAATATGAAGCTTTTTTAGATTCAGTGACTGGTCCAAAGTCACCCAGGGAGTTTCCGTGGCTGAGGGTGGTCCAGCAGAAGCTCCATAGTCCTAGAATAACCTTAGCCACTACCCAATATTGGCTCTCTTTACATAGCCAGAATGAATCAGTACACTGCATATGCCACCTAGTTAGTAAGATAAAGGCAACTCTGTTGGGATGTAAATTTGTCTCTAGATTAGCAATCTTAGCTTGCATAGAATAGCGTGAGCCTCCTTGAGGTAAAACTGGCTTTGGTTACTCTTGTGGCATACAGGCCAAAAAGGTTACTAAACAGGTGGGTATTGTCCTTACCATTGCAAGGGAATGCTGCATGTGGCATGAATGTGACAGGAAATTTAGTTTGTACTTTGTGTATGTGAAAACCTCAGTTAACTAAAGCTATGACAGGCAGTGAAGGTCAATATTTACAGGCCAATCTAGTCGTGGTCATAGCATATGGAAGATTGCTACTCAGAATGTAAAAGCAGTAAATGGTAAAGAGCATGAATTAACAAACAAAATGAAAAAAAAAGTGTGTTTCTGTAAGGCTAAGAATGGAGAAAGATGTACTAGATCTGAGGTTAATATAAAGTTGGGAAGTTGATGAATATATACATGGAAATGAAAATTTATGATTTATTTGATCATTTACAATGAAATATTGTGAGATTTGTTTATTTCAATTTATATGGCCATCCATCTCATCATCGTGACCCAGGGCAGCTAACAACAGTTTAAAAACGTAACTAAACAATAACAACACTAAATACACAATCAGCAGCCAGGATAAAACTGTAAACAAACATGTAAAATCCAATGCCAATGTGAGTGTGGCATGACTATTATTTGATAGTGCCAAGATTAGATGATTGAAACAAGTGGAAGGAATAGAAAGAAAATAGAGTGACAGTAGAATAATTGCAGGAACAGAAAGTGCAAGTCCTGAATGAAAAATTGCTCAAAAGATAATCTTCCAGTGGAATGAATGGCATATGAATCTAGGGAAAGATAATATGGAAGCTGCTTCAACAGAGTAAAAATAATTATATTATAGAGTGCCACAGAAATGTGTGGAATTATCCTAATTGAAAATACAAAAAAAAAAATGCTTGGTGGACTGATGAAGAGGATCTGGATGAGGAAAAATTCTTTCCTACATTCTTTTATATGTAATGTTCAAAAATTAGGAAATGAAAGATATTTATCATAGAAAAAAATAATTGCAAGGATATAGTTAAGAGATACCCAAGGAATAGTTAATATTAAAAAAGATAATGCAGAGCAATCTTGTTGGAAATTTTAATTTAAAAAATAAATACAAATATTATTGACTTAAGTGAAAAGAGCTTAACTAGCAGTCCATAGCAGAGTGAATGGAATTAAAGATAAAAGTGAAGAACTGATTTGGAATGAAACTGGAGTGGAAAAATCCTGAAAGGAGTATTTCAGAAACTTGTGTGGGAAAACAGGTAGTCCTTTGTTAACTACTGCCCTTTAGTGACTGTATAAGAAGAGCCTGGGATTAAAATATTTAAAGTGCAGAGCAGCTTTATAACAAGCAAGGAATGTGCACATCAGATTTGTTGTTCCTTATCAGACACTGCAAACTCTATGAATGTGATAGAGTTTACTTCACATACGAGGATTTAGAGAAACTGTATAATAAAATGAAAACGGTTGAATAATAGAACATTTTTACTAATATGGAGTTGAAGGTTGGTTGCAATGTATGTAAAAGCAGTATAAAATGAAATTAATGCACATGTGAGAATAAATGCAGTGCTTAGCGAATGGCACAACATTGTTCAAGGATCAGGGGGCTGGCAGCACCTTTTCCAACAAACACATTTTATTAAAAGGCATGAGTTTTGTGAGCTGCAGCTATAACCACATTTGTTCTGACCCATTTGGCAGAGATGCCCAACCGATGGAATTAAACCAAGAATTCAGGAGACTGAATTACCTACCCAATGAGATCAATAGCCAAATCAATAGAGCCAGATCAATTCCCAGGGAGGACCCATTAAAAGACAGACCACAAAAACAGAAGAACTGAACGCCACTGGTTGTCACCTACAACTCACAGCTCAAACCATTCAAATGTATTAATAATAAGCTAAAGCCCAAAGTGGACAGTGACTGCACTTTCTCAGGCACTGGAGGGCAGGTTCATACTTGCATACAGACAAATACACAACCTGAAGCAGTTTCTCACAAGCAGCAACAACAACAAACAACAGGGCTATGATGCTAACATGGGAACCAGACCCTGCAACACACTCAGATGTCTGCCCTGCCCCCATATCTACACCAATAGCACCATCGCAGGCCCCAACAAGTATTCACATAAGATTAAAGGTGCCTTCACACATTCTTCCTCTACTGTGATACATGCCATCATCTGCCAGCAATACCCCTCTGGATTCTACATAGGACAAATTCACCCAAAAGAATTAATAGAGAAAAGTCAAGATTCAAAACAAGGACAAAATAACATCAGAGCATTTCAGTCTTCCAAGACAATCTATTGTAGATCTCAACATGATGGCTATGGAACAACAAAACTTTAACAGCACCATGGAATGAGA